TGGGGTGGCTGCTTTCTCCGAATTAGTGAACCACTCTCGCCCCCCAGCCTCTCTCCACCCTGGGAGGACATCAGGCTCCCCTCTGTCCTCATGGGACGGGTCCTGTCTTGGGCCCCCAAACCGGACAGTGGTTCAGTAGCACTGCCTCTGGGATCATCATCCTGTTACGCTTTCCAGGTTCCATTGCTCTGTCAGGGGAGGGCGCCGGGGATGGAAGAGCCAGTCTCTCCTCGGGTTGAAGTTCCTCGGAGGCCGCCCGGGGTCACAGATAGACCCTCAGGCAAAGGAGAAAGCCAGCCTGTTGTCTCTCGTCCTCCTGGCTGCTCGCTTGCAAGAAATGTTGTGGAAAATCAGGAGGGCAAGGGAGACCTTGGAGTATAGCAGGAGGATCTTCACTGAGTGCACTCCGTCCCAGCAGACTCAACATCCAAAAATCTAGGCCCCGAACAAAGACAAGGTTTTGCTTATATACCTGCTCCTAAGTGGCAAGAATGTGAATATATGGAGGCAAGACAAAGGCCTTTAATCCAACGAACACAGGCTTATAACTCAGGTTTAGTAAACTCCCTGCTATGCTGCCCAGATGGTCAGTATCTGCTTAGTTCAAAGGAGTCTCACAAAGACTCCTCCTGCGACCCCACCATGGCCTCTGGCTGGCTACGGGCCAGACCTGCTCAGGCTATACCGCTTAGATGAAGAAGCAGGAACCTGCAATCATTGACTACAGGAAAAACAGAAACTCCTAAAACTTACAGAGCAAGGACCAAGGTATAGTTTACAGAGCAGAGGGGTGGGGTTCGACGGGGAAGTTCACTTACACTAAAGGAGAGACAGGAAAACTTATCTCTTCACATCCTTACATTGAGGGAGTGCTGGGACAGTCTTCAGAGCACATTGCTCTGAGCTCTGGTCCTTAGATAACATTTGAAACTTTGCCTGTTACTGGCTTTGAAACGAGTCAGCCTAACACAGGCAGCTTGTTTCTGTCTCTTTTTAAATTAGACATTAGGTTGACAACTTGTGCTCTTTCGGGCTTTTTCGTGTAGGCAGCAGGCACTATGAATTTTCCTCTTACCACTGCTTTTGCTGTATTCTTAAGGTTTCAATAACTTGTTACCATTCAATTGAAATAACTTTAAAATTTTCATCTTTATGCCATTGTTAACCCAGATATTAATCAGGAGCAGATTTCTTAATTTTTATGTATTTGTTCAGTTGTAAGGGTTTCTTCGAGAGCTCATTTTTAGTTTTATTCTCCTGTGGTCTGAGAAGATACTTGATATGATTTCACTGTTTTAAAAATTCATTGAGACTTGTTTTGTGACGTATTATATGTTCCATCTTGTAGAACGTTGCATGTACTGATTACAGGAATGTTTATTCTGCAGGTCTTGGACAGAATGTTCTGTAAATATCTGCTACATCCGTTTGTTTCAGTGAGTTCTTTACGTGCATTTTTTCTCTGTTGACCTTCAGTCTCGAAGATCTGTCTGGTGCTGTCATGATTGTATTAAAGTCTCCCACTCTGATTGTTTTGCTGTCTATCTCATTTTGTTAGCTCTAATAGTACTTGTTTTATGAATCTAGTTCCTCTAGGGTTTGGTGCATATAAATTTAGAATTGTAATATTTTCTTGTTGAATTGATCCTTTTATAATTGTGTAGCGATCATCTATGTCTTTTTCTTACTGTTGCTTTGAAGTCTGTTTTGTCTTATATCAGAATAGTTACTCCTGCTCACTTTTGGTTTCCATTTTTGTGAAATGCCTTCTTCCACCCTTTTACCTTGAGTTTATGAAAATCCTTGTGTGTTAGGGGAGTCTTTTAAAGACATCAGATATTTCCATTGTGATTTTTTAATCCATTCTGCCATTGTGTATCTTTTGTATGGAGCTTTGAGGCCATTTATATTCAATGTGAATATTTAGATACGAGTTACTGTTCTCTTTGCCATGTTATTCTTAACTAGTGGTTTTTTTTTTCTCACTGTGTTATTGTTTTACATGCCCTGTGAGTTTCAATCTCTTAAGAGGTTCCTTTTATGTGTATATTGGGCTTTTGTTTTGTAATACCTAATCTTGCTTTTTACTAACTTTGTTTTTAGACTCTCCCCTTCTCCCCTAATCACCTAGCCTTGTTTCCACAGGAGTAAGCTCTCCCTTAGCTGAGAAAGCCGGACGAATGAACTCCATTTGGCTCCGTCATTGACAAGGGTTCAAGGACTCTTTACCCACTCCCTTCCTCAATGAGTTAACTTGTGTAAGACTCTCAACATATCAGGGTCCAATTAACTGAAAAGATACTGAAGTAAGCAATGTACGAAGTTCCCAGGATTTTGCTCAAGAGATAACACCATAAAACCTTGAGTCTGTGTCCGGCAGAGCCCCCATATATAACATCTTATGAAAGATCTAGAGCTTCTGCACCTGGAACTGTTTGTTTCTCTGTAACCACTTGTCTTTTTAACTTTTTTACATGTTTTTACTTCTGTAGACTTGTTGCAGCTGAGCTCCCTCCGCTTCCTAACCCGAAGTATAAAAGAAAATCAAGCCACTTCCTCGGGCCGAGAGAATTTTGAGCATTAGTCGTCTCCCCGTCACCGGTTAATAAAGGACTCTTAAATTCATCTCAAAGTGTGGCATTTGTCTAACTCGCTCGGGTACAACAGTTTCAAGGTTTACAACTTCTTCTAGCATTTCCTGCACTGCTGGTTAGGTAGTGATGAATTCCCTCAGCACTGGTGATTCTGAAAATGACTTTACTTCTTTTGATTTATCAAACAGTTTGGCAGGATACAAAATTCTTGATTGAAAGTTGTCCTGTTCACGGAACTTGAAGACAGAAGTTTCATCCATCTGGCTTGTGAGGTTTCTGCTGAGAAGTCTGCCAGTAGTCTGATGGGTTTCTTTGTTTTGTTTCCTATTACTGCTCTTAGAATGATTTCCTTCATGTTGACTTTTGGTAGCCTGATGACTTTAAGCTTGGTGAAGGCAGTTTTTCAATGTATTTCCCAGGAGTTCTTTGAACTTCTTGGATTTGGATAGCTAGGTCTCTAGGCAGACCAGGAAAGTATTTCTCGGTGTTTCCCTCAAATAAGTTTTCCAAACATATTATTGTTTTTCTTCTTCAGGAACATCAATTATGCTTAGGTTTACTCATTTTGCATAAACCCATATTTCCTGGAGACTTTGTTTACTTCATTTGATTCTCTCTAAATTTATTTTTCTCTGATTTGATTAATTCAAAAATACTCTAGTCTTTTTCTCTTCTTCTACTTTTTTCTTCTTATTTCTGCTTTATTCTTTTTGTCATCTAATATTTTTACTTTAACTTTTGTACTTTTTCTAGTCTATTGTTATATTTTTTCTTCTACTTTTTCTAGTCTATTTCTGAAACTTTCCATGGCGTTTTGTAATTCCTTTACTATTTTCCTGAATTTTGTCTTTTATTTTTAGAAGTTCTGATTGGTTTCTCTTTATATCTATGTCTCTCTAAAAATTTGTATTTATATTCTGAACTGCTTTTATACATTCGCTTATGATGATTTTCACCTTCTTGTTATATCTTCTTGAGTAGCTTAATAATCAACTTTCTGAATTTATTATCTGGTATTTTAAAGACTTCATTTTGGTTCAAGTTTATTGCTGGAGACCTAGTGTGACCTTTGTGGGACATTATACCACCCTGTTTTGCCATATTACTTGAGTATTACTGTGGTGGTAAGCCCCACACAGTTCCCACACACTTGGCGAGGCAGATCCACTCCCATGATGCTCCACTGGCAGCAGTGAGATGAGTTCCAGTCAGCCTGTGACCAATACCTGCAAATAGCAGGAGTCATAACTGTCCCCGTGGAGACTGCAGCCGTGGGTTTCATGCCATGACCCTTCCTGTCTGCTGCAAAGCCGGGCACCAGCTCCTGCACCCATGGCTCCTGACCTTGCAGCCCACTTTTCACTCTTCCCTGCCCAGGCCCTGGCTAAGGGAGTTCGTCCCCACCCGAGGTTGTATCACACACCCCTGCTGACAGCCTCTTTCAACCTGTGACCACTGCCTGAAATTTTTGGCTGTTCTCCCCAGGATCCTCTGTGAAGAACGTTAGGAAACGGTGGCCCTCAGACCGCACGGAGATCTGCGGGTTTGTGCAAGGGTCTTCCTGCCACTGCTTCTACTTTCTATTCCATGACCCTCCACAGTGGGTCCTGGCACTGGGTGAGGTTAGGGCCTTCTCCTGAGGCCCGAACTTTCAGGATCCCAGGTGGGGGTGTGTATCCCAGAGGCAAACTGTCCCCTGGAACTCTGTGGACTCAGAGCCCTTCACCTGACTCACAGTGTGCGCTGCAGCTTCCTGCTTTTTTCTGAAAGTTTGTAGATTATTTCAGTGTTTCTGTTCAGCTCCTTCATTGCCTCTTGAAAGTCAGTCCACCATGTTCATCTCTCCATGTTAGTTTGTCCTTCCAGGTGGAAGAGGGATGCTAGCAGTGCCTCTAACCTGCCATCTTGGAATATGAGTTTGATTTTTTTATTCTGGAAATTCATTGAATCTCTTCGTTACTTCCAACCTTTTTTGTTGGAGTCTCTTGGGCTTTTTGTAAATAACAGCATATGATAAGTCAAAACATATTTTAAATGTATTCATTACTATATGGATGACTTCTGTATTTTATTCTTGCCTAACTCTTCTGTCTAAACCCTCCAGTGCTATGTTGAATAATATTAGTGGTGGCGAGGATCTTGTCCAGTTTCCAGTCTTAGAGGAAGATAAGATTTTCCCCACTGAGTAAAATGCTAGATGTGGGTTTGTTATATGTTGTCTTTATTGTGTTGAGGTATCTATTTTACACATAATCTGTTCAGATTCTTTATAATGAGAGTGTGGTGGATTTTGTCAGTGACTCTAAATCTATTGATACGGACATATAATTTTAGTCCTTCAAAGTTTTAA